GTTTGCCCACCCCTATTCTCTATAGTTCTCTCTAATTACAAAAGTGAAAATTAAAATGTAAAAAACAGAATGATAATAGCATAGATGACACACCCCGACCCGGAATGTCCACTAGGACTCCGAATCAAGCTGTGCTGGCTAACACCTGGAAGGTGACGAAGCCATAAAGTGTGATGTTGTGGAAAATTGTGAATAAATTTAAACCTAAGAGTGCCTAATTACTAGAGTACACTGGTGAGCGGGAATGAACCCAATTCACACGTGATGTTAGAGCATAAGTAAGTACAGAAAAGTGATGTAAGAATCGTACCCTTGAAATAGTCTCCGATACTAAGAATCACCGTGAGTCTTTGGTGATAATAAAACTCAGCTAATAATACCTGGAGGGTGAAAACAAGATAAGAGTGAGTGGCCTTGTAAGTAAAATACTAATAGAGAACATATAAAACATGTAATCACTTGCTACAACACCTGTATAATTTCCAGACTTAGACTATAAAATATACATCTTTATATATGTATATTGATTCAAGGCATGCTTCACATATTTATAATCGTATGTTAACTTATCGCATATTCATCACGTGTACTAGCCCATCACGTATTCACCACATATATTAGCTCATCACATATATTCATTATATATACTAGCGTGTAAGTCAGAGTCACCTCTAGCGACCTATACGATATATTCATATCTCATCACATATCTCATCAATCGTGGCTAGCATATAATAGTTGGAGTCACCTCTAGTGACCAATACGACATATTCATATCTCATCACATATCACATCAATCATGGCTAGCATATAATAGTCGAAGTCATCTCTAGTGACCTATACGACGTATTCATATCTCATCATATATCTCATCAGTTATGGCTAGCATATAATAGTCAGAGTCACCTTTAGTGACCTATACGTCATATTCATATCTAATCACATATCTCATCAATCATGGCTAGCATATAATAGTCGGAGTCACCTCTAGTGACCTATATAACATATTAATATCTCATCAGTTATCTCATCAGTTATGGCTAGCATATAATAGTCGGAGTCACCTCTAGTGACCTATACGACATATTCATATCTCATCACATATCTCATCAATCATGGCTAACATATAATAGTCGGAATCACCTCTAGCGACCTATACGACATATTAATATCTCATCAGTTATGGCTAGCATATAATAGTCAGAGTCACCTCTAGCGACCTATACGACATATTCATATCTCATCACATATCTCATCAATCATGGCTAACATATAATAGTCGGAATCACCTCTAGCGACCTATACGACATATTAATATCTCATCAGTTATGGCTAGCATATAATAGTCAGAGTCACCTCTAACGACCTATACGACATATTCATATCTCATCAATCATGGCTAGCATATAATAGTCAGAATCATCTCTAATGACCTATACGACATATTCATATCTCATCAAACATATATCTCATCAGTTATGGCTAGCATATAATAAGTTGAAGCCACCTCTAGTGACCTATACGACATATTCATCTCTCATCAATCATATATCTCATCAGTTATGGCTAGCAGATAATAGTCGAAGTCACCTCTAGTGACCTATACGACATATTCATATCTCATCACATATCTCATCAATCATGGCTAGCATATAATAGTCGGAGTCACCTCTAGTGACCTATACGACATATTCATATCTCATCAGTCAAACTAATACCGTATACTTACTTGAGTTTACCTAAACTTACCTGAACTTACCTGAGTGTCATGTATTCACCTTTGCACCTCAGAGCGTTCACAGCACCACAATTATATATATATACACACACACACATACACACAAACAATTCAACTCATCGATTACGCATTATTCAATAGGCATAGCATTTTTAAAGCATAAGTCCTTTAATTGCATTTTCTGGGAAACATCAAGCGTGTATATATATATATATATATATATATATATATATATATATATATATATATATATATATATACACCTAAAACCAAAAGCCCACACACATTGTTCAGTTCCTTAAACAAGACTATGGTCTCGATTATTTAATTTCATTTCTTATATGGCTGCATCTAACATCTCATTAGACTGCTTACGTACCCTAAATAGGGATCAAGTCATTCATAGTTCACAATCATTTATCTCATTAGACTGCATCTAACTCAACCATCTCATAGTATTTTATAACTTATAATTATATGTAAATATATATATATATATATATATATATATATATATATATATGTCATGGTATAAGTTTCTCAGTTTTATTTAAAAGCATTTATAGAATTATCAATCATGAAACATATGATGAGCAAGGACAGATCCACTCACCTGGAGTCCGCGCTACAACTTCCTAGCACGAACATCGAGGCATCATAAACGATCGGCACCTGTGACCAATTATCAAACCATATCTTAGAATTCTCGTTGATATAATACATAACTTACATCTCACTCAAGTCTACGCAATTCGGTCTAGAAGATCCACAAATCAGATCTTTGATCCGTAACTTCCATGGATACACATTATGCTTCTAGAATAACATACTAAAGTTTCATAACGATCCAACGGTCGGATCTCCGCCAATTGCCAAAACCAAGTGGCGGTTAGCATTTTATTTTACGAACTTATAAATCCAATTCGAGGAGATCCATAAGTCGGATTCTTAATCTGTAAGTTCCTATATTCCTCAAATATTATGAATAATAATCTATCAAAGTTTGATGACGATCCAACGGTCGGATCGTCGATTCATATAATGACCTATTAACGTATCTTAGAGAATTTTGGCTCTAACAATCAATCTACGTCATTCACTTCTCAAAACTGAATTCAAGACATCACATATAGTCTAAAAATAGCATTGGTAGCCCTCAGGCCACGCGCCGCCGCACCAGCCGCCGCCCCAGCTCGCTTGAAAATTCAACTATTTCTAAAAATTACCAACATTTTTAGATTTGAAGATCTCAATGAGTAGAACAACTTTCATACCTATGACCAATGCCAATTTGGCTTGGAAACATTCAATTTCACAATATCTGTGTGGACCCTAGAATTTGGTGTGCTTCGATTCGACCACCTAACTTGTTCCAATGCCTCCACCACTGCTTGGGCTTTGTTCCTGGGTTCTAGGGAAGTCTAATGGTAGTGGTAATTGAAGGAAAACGTTTCACAAGTGGTGGATTTCGAGCAATGTTCCTCACGGCACCCACCTTCGGTTTTTTAATATATTACCACCAAATTCCTTCTAATTTTGAATGGAAATGGAAGAGGGAAGGCTAGGAAGTTGTTTCTAGGTGGTGGTTCGAGACAATTCATCGGAAAGTGGCCGGGAAATAGGTGAATTCGGCCTTGGAGCTCAGCCGGGTCCCGCGGGTCAAGAAGAAGACTCGGCGTTTCCCTTCCTTTTCCTTCTCCCTCCTTTCCCTCCTTCCCCTTTTCTGGTTGGCCATCCTCTCCTCTCTTCTCCTGATTCGCCATTTCTTCCTTCTTCCAGATTGGGCAGTTTTGGCCAATCCCGTTCCCTCTATTCTTCCTCCCCGACATCTCTTCTTTTCCTTTCTCATATTCTCCCAATAATTAATAAATTAATAATACTAATAATTATATACATATAAAAATATAAATCGTAACCAAAATAAAAGTACTTCTCGGGTTAGAGTTCCGTAGAACTTTAACCGTAACTCCAAATCTTCTTCTGCTTGCGTCTACGAGCTCGTATTGTCGAGTGCTTAAGGAATACGCTAAAAGAATTCCATACGTCTCACTATACGTAGGTAAATGAAAGTCAAAAACCATTCACCTCTAGGGCATTATCGTAAAATCACGCTTTTAAAATTTATAAAATAATGACGGGTTGTCATAATAAAACTTTTCCGTTATTGAGTATAATTCTCTTAACTGGGGTCGACATGCGGATAGCAATATAGCTATCGTGAACACAAACTTTTTGCCATTGTCATCAAACTTTTTTGATAACCATTTTGTTTTTAGTTTTTAGTTTTTGTTTTCACTTTTTTTATTTTTTTTAACTGAAAGCTGAAATCTTATTTGGTAACTATTTTAAGTTTTTGAAAAACCAAAAACCAAATACTACTTTCTTGGAGGCCATTTGATAACCGCTTTGTTTTTAGTTTTTGTTTTATCTTTTTAAAAAATTGAAAAATAAAATTTTGTTCGATAACTATTTTCAATATTCCAAAAATGAAAACTAAAACTAGTTTCTCGAGTTTTCAAAATTTGACCTTGAGTTTTTACTTTTTGGTTTTTAGTTTTCATTTTTTTGAAAACTGAAAGTAGTTACCAATAAAGATTTGAGTTTCAAAAAAGTAAACTGAAAATTGAAAATTGAAAACGAAATGGTTATCAAATGTTCTCTTAGGTGTACAACATTATTTTTTATCCACTCCTTGCTCCTTGGGGTGTTTTGCCCTTAAAACTCTTTGTTGAGCACTGGTACAGTGAATGCACCAAACAAGTACAAGTACATCTTTCCAAAACTGCTTTGACAATTTGGTCCATCAACTATTATCAAATTAATAGAGGTGATAAGCTTGCAAACTATGGAATTGGATCCTCTCTTGAGCACAATGTGAGTCTCCTCTTGACCAACACACATGTAGGATGTTGGATGAAAATTTAGCAGCTATAATTATTATAATTTTAAAGGGATCTTCTTGTTGGCCCACATGTGTTGGTCAGGAGGATCCTCACCTTGGGCTCGGGAGAGTATCAAATTCCACAAACTATATATTTCACACCTCTCATTAACACTTTCCTAAAAAATTGAACACTGAAATTAAGGGAGTAACAACTATTTGAGAAAAAAAAAATACACTCTAATTATTGAATATAGATTACAATTCTAGTTGTTGAATAGAGATCCCAAATCAAAGATATCTGCTACATATGTAAATGGTAAAAAAGATGCTAGCTAAAAATTCATTAAAAAAAAAAAACCTGGATAGTCAATCGTCCTCTATCTCACCAATTTGTAATTATTGGTATTTATTTTGGTTTGGACTTACAACACACAAATCAACATTCAATAATACCCTTACTGATTGAGGATTTCCTTTACAGGGAAAAACGAAATTGTAAACTTCTTAACTTTCTTAAATATAAATATCAAAGCATGAGAAAATCCCGCATACAAAGGAAGCTGCATACCAAATACAGACACAGGAAGAAACGCAGCAACATAAAAGAGACCATGTCAATTTCTCGTTGAGATGAATCAAGAGCACAACTGTAGCAGTGAACGCGAGCATGGCCGTCACTAGCGAGAAGAAAAGAAAGGCAAATCCTAAATGCAGCCTGAGCGGAAGAGAATGATGGAAGTTTTTGTACTCAAACGGAGATGTCAAGATCGAGAGAAATGTGACGAGAGAAGACAATGAGCTGATGAGCGAGACAACGCCTGTGATGATAAAGGTAGTGAACAAAGGAGAATGTTGGAGAACAGGAACACCGCCTGAATTGTAACCCCCGGGAGCAGTGTAGGCGGCTGCAAAGACCACAGTGGCCACTAGAGCTGCCACGGTCGAGCATGACTGAGCAGTGTCTTTTATCCATGTTTGTGCCGAATGAAGAAGCTTTTCATGCTCAATATTGAAGAGCTCCTCCGCTGTCACACCCTTGTTGTTGCGGTGCATGATATAATGAGGTGGCGTTATCTTTCCCGCTCGCTACCAACAAAATGGTAAAACTATTAATGTATGAATTATTCTTAGTCTATTTTTGTTTCCAATATGAACGAAAAAAGGCGCAAAATGGTTTTTTTTTTTTATTTTAATTTTTTCATGGGAGGACCCATTAGATTTTAGATGCCTCGTATTAATATTCAATTAATTATTTGCAACAAATTTATGTAATTTCCCATAATTTTGGTAATTCAGATTAAACTATGTATGCCCAAGATGAAGAATAGTTAATTTAAAATGAGAGAGTGTTCAAGTAGAGCAGTGTCCTCCCACCTCTTTCCCCAAGTTTGAATTTCTCATTCCGTAGTGTAATATATAGATGAAGTTAATGTAAAAATATCACTTGTATTAAAAAAAATGTGAGAGGGAATATAATTAAGGCCAGAATCACTCACCACCATCCAACGTAATTCTTCTTGCAATTGCAATGCAGGACCACTTACACTTTGAGTGTCTGGAGAGTAATATGTCATATCTGCAGCTCGATGCAATATGGTATTTCCATCACTGTCAATCCTCGAAGTTAACCTCCACGTTATCGCTCTGCTTCTCTTCACAAGCCTAAATATCTGCAACTGACGATGCTTAATCGACATATGCAAAATGTTTTGTTGACTGCCGATTTCGTGCGCCTCAATCGCCTGAGGATGTACCTCATATATCCTTTTCACAAGAGGTAATATTCCGGTGCTAGTTGCTATAAGCAGTGGGGTGTAGTTATAAATAGTAGATTTTTTTGTTTCTCTTCCATCACCACAAATAGCAGCAATATCTTTCTGTGAGGACACCAAGGAAATTGTCTTGTCTTTCTTTGGTTTCTTACTTTCTACCCACGAATAGTCTTTCTCCACGAGCAGCTGGGTAAGCTCCGATAGTGTTTTTTCTTTTTTTATTTGCTTCAAGATCGAAAAGACTCGAGGCCATCCTGTGTATGATTGATCATGCATATATATAGGAATTAAAATTATAGTTAACTTTGTTTTACCATCACGCATGCATAGTGATTTTTTTTTCCTCTTTTCCGGATTTTTCTGCGTTTGAGATTTTTATGATTAAGGTTGTATCGGGACCCCATCAGGTTCCATATTTCAAGGCTTAAGTACTGAAAAGAACTTTAAAATAATTTTGGGAAATGATACGGAGATCAGATTTTTATATCATATTTGTATATTATTTAATGTGGCAAGTAATGTGTATATGTTACGTCAATTAATGAATTTCTCTTATTAAATATTAATTATATGCATCACTTGCTAAATGAGATGGTACTCCAATAATGTTTTTTCTTTAATTTCTTTCCTTATCCTATGGTTCTGCGTCTTTTCTCATCCTTCCTCCGCTATTCTATTTCCCACATTTCTGTGCAGGTCTCCTTAATTTCTAATGCAATGAAAACTAAAATTGAAGATGAAATGATTATTAAAGAGGCTAGTAACACTTTCACTTTGTAACAAGAGCTCCAATGGGCTCCTTGCTAAAATTTAGTGATAATTAAAAAATTCATCTTCAATAACATCACCAATCATGCTCCTAGGATAGCAAATCCTCCAGTAGCTCTTAAATATGGAAAGGGAAAAAGAAGCTCCTAATGACTAGTAACGTTAATTTTACTACTATGTTCTTAATATTTGAAATAAAAATTACATTTCTATTGGTTCATAGTCTTTTGAAGCAATTTTAAAAATAAAAATAAAAATAGAGAGTATGATTGGAAAGGTATGAACACATATGTTTTGTTACAATATGAGCATAAGTGTAGGTGTATATTGGTCAGCATGTGAGTTCAAATTGGTTTAGAAAAGTCTAATTGGAGAGGTTTGGATGTCCTAGTTAATAAAGAATTGAAACTAGGAATTTGATCCTAAATTACTCACTTATATTAAATATGGGAGACAATCTACCAAGATTCTGAGGAGAATCATAATGATATATTGTTTGTCAATATAAATTGTAGTCACTTCTCTCACAAAAAAAAAAAATACGCTCATTATAAATTGTAGGGACTTATTGTTTGGTTTTATCTAGCAAAGAGAAAAAGCTTACTATTGAAGTCGATTATAACTTCATCTTCTTTGATTTGTAAAGGTCAGATTTATTCTTACATGTTGATCTTTTAGTCTATATATATAATTAAGAATTGAACAAAACATAAAGTTCACAGGAGCAAAACAGCAAACAACAGAAGACAATAATAAATACGTCGATTTATATATTCGAGGTTTGAGTTTTATTTACTTGTGAGCTTCTTCGACAAGCAAGCTGTGGGAAGCTGTGGAATCCATCTGCTCTCTATATCACCGTTTTGATTTGGTGCGGCCGCATCAACACTATCATCTTCTGAGAGGCCTCAATATATGTAATTAAGATAAAAAGGGAAGCACTGTAAAGTCTTCTCTTGCACTCCGTTAGCAGGAGTAAAACAAGTATTTTCACTAGAGTACAGGTAATTAGTATAGTTATTTAAAAGAGATTAGAAAGAAATGGAGTTTTTATTTTTTATTTATTGTTAGTTACTAATAATACTATGCACATTATTGTGTTTAATGTAAGCGTATAGATACGTACATTTATGAATAAGCATCTTCCATAAGCTTTCGCGATTGTAGACTTGGAAGGCAGATGGCATCTTGGCTAGCAATTGAAGGCTTGTGAAACCATCGTCTTCCTTTGTTTTTGCAAGAAATGGGTACTTTTTCAGTAGCCAAAGAGCAGTGTCTGCATTATTTGTGAAAAGTGGAAACACAAAAGTCAAACACTTACTCAAACTCTAAATAACATACGCCTTGAAGGAGCCCCACCAATATAAACAAGCCCAACTATATTATATATTAATTATTGTCTAACTTTGATGAATAATTATATTTTGAATGGAGATATATATATATATATATATATATATATAGAGAGAGAGAGAGAGAGAGAGAGAGAGAGAGAGAGAGAGAGAGAGAGAGAGAGAGAGAGAGAGAGAGAGAGAGAGAGAGAGAGAGAGAGAGACCAAAATGTTGGTTAATGACAACGATATGAAGAACGGACATGCGATCAACAGATCTGGTGAAGTGGCGCTCTATATTCACATTTTGTTTGTGGAAAAAATCGACCAATTTTGTATGACCGTAAGAAGCTGCCCTGTAGATGGGCGTTTCTCCTAACTTGTTCTCGATCTCCACAATACTTCTAGACCAAGCATCAATAACATCTCGCTCGTACTCATTGGTTTGATCAGCATCCTGTCTAGCAATTAGCTCACTCCTAACGCTGTTATCGTGGCTTACCAACAACATTGCAGCTTTCAGGTTTCCCGACGCCACCACCTCGTGGAGGATGGTGTTCCCATGGCCATTCTCCAGCACCAAGGCATGCCGTAACTTTCTAGGGTCATTGGTCGCAGTTGTCACAAGTGAAATCAAGAACTCGAGCACGTCGCTCTGCCCGGCATAGGCTACGACGTGAAGTACAGTGTCGTTGTTTGTTGTCAATGGAATGAATACCTCTTCCCAGTTTCTCTTATAGTATTGTTTCAAGGGTTCCCAGTTGTCGTGCATGGCCCATTTATATGGCCATTTTGATTGACTCAAAGCCTCTCCCGCTCTTTCTGTTTTCTCATCTTCTTCTCTCTCTTTCTCCAACCTCTCTTTCTCTCTCTCTTTCATATCTTTCTATTTTCACATAGGTACGTTGCTTAATCAAAAAACAAAGTTAAAGAATAAATGCAAAGTTCTCTAAGAGAATTATATATGCAATTTGCATCATAGAATTAGATGCTTTCAAATTATGTAATGTCAAAAGCTGAAAAAAGAGAGTTTTGTAAAGATCCAAAGTTACTAGCTGTCTTCCTCTAAAGTGTGTTAGCATTGATCCTCATAGCACTTCCAGCGTGATGCTACATAATTTGAGATAAAGTGTGTTAGCATTGATCCTCGTAGCACTTCCAGCCTAAATCCCCTCTCCCCACCAAAATCCCCTCTAGCCCACCTAAGTTTACTGGGCTACGAGGGAGCCCAGTTAGTCCCCCAAGGTCAGAATTGCCTAGCCCAGCTCCTAAGTTATGTGATATAACGGTGACATCAGTCACTATTAAAAAATTATAAAAAATAATTAAAAGTTAATTAAAATACCAAAAATTATGAACAAATTAATTAAAATTACAAAAAAGTATTTAAAAAAATTATAATTTTCTATAAATACTGAGCCACGTTCTTCCATCTTACACCACATTTTAATATTTTCAAATATTTTCAACCGATCTTTTATTATTATCCAAATTTAAAAATAAAACAAAATATTTTAATACGAATTGCCTAGAGTATTCAGTTTAGAGGTGTAAATGCACTTAGACAATTACTATTTAGTACAGACAATTACTATTTACTTGGGGGTTTGAATCGCCTATTGCCCAGGGGGCCTAACAACACTAGAACTGCTCCCATCGTTTCCTTCTCTTTTAATTGTTGCTTTTTTCGGTGACTCCTATTATTTTTTAAGGGCGGATGATATTCTAGCCTTTAGTGTTGGTCACGAGAGGTTTTTCAGTATGTTGGGAACACAGTTCGACATACCAAATGTAATAATACACATTCATGTCCTACCAAACGCTTTGCCGCTTCTATGTTTCCCGACGCTTTGCCACTTCTAGGTTTCCCTACGCTGCCGCCTCGTGGAGGATGGTGTTCTCGTGGCCATTCTTTAGCACCAAGGCATGCCGTAACTCTCTAGGGTCATTGGTCGCAGTTGTCACTAGTGAAATCAAGAACTCGAGCACGTCGCTTCGCTCGGCGGAGGCTACGATCTGAAGTACAGTGTTGTCGTTCGTTGTCAATGGACTGAATACCTCTTCCCAGTTTGTCTTATAGTATTGTTTCAGGCATTCCCAGTTGTCGTCTATAGCCCATTGATATGGCCTTTTTGTTCGACTCAAACCCTTTCCCGCTCTTTATATTTTCTCATCTTTTTCTCTCTTCCATCTCTCTCTTCAATCTCTCTCTCGTACAATTTACACAGTGGTATTGTATGTGACTCATTTGCTTCATTTTATAGTCCATATTCTGGCCTTTTTTTCTGTACAATATTCACCATCAAGCTAGCTAGATGGTAAGCTGCACATAGTACATTGCTTAATCAAGAAACAAAGTTAAAGAATAACTGCAAAGTTTTCTAAGAGAATTATATATGCAATTTGCATCAAAGAATTAGATGCATCAAATTCTATAATGTCAAAAGCTGAAAAAAAAGAGTTTTGAAAAGATCTAAAGTTACCATCTGTGTTCTTACCAGCTTTATTGTAAAGTGTGTTAGCATTGATCCTCATCGTTTCTCTTTCTTTTAATTCTTGCTTTTTCTGATGACTCCTATTATTTTTAGGGGCGGATGATATTTTAGCCTTTAGTGTTGGTCACAAGAGATTTTTCAGTGTATCAAGAATATGACTCGATAAACCAAATACAAGAGCATCTCCAACCAATGCTTTAAATTGCCAAGTAGACATGTAATGGTAAAAAATGGTATCTCATTTCATTCCAACCCGTGGATTGAAGGCTTGGTGGGAGGCGTCAAAAGTGCCGCCTCCAAAATGCATATGCCAAATAATAATTATTATTATTATTTCGTTTTTTTCTTTTAACTTTTGGACCAGCCTTGCATTGAATACTTGGTATACGTGTAGATATTTTATATTTCTTTTAATATTTATTATGATTTGAAAAAGTAATCTTAAAATAAAAGTAATATATTAGACACATTGGTTGGCAATTCAATTTTAACATGATGTCAAACTGCCACGTAGATCATCACATTCAAATTTGGTGTTCAATATTTAACGTTTTTTTGGAGATGCTTTAATAATAGAATTGGTTAAAAACTTTAAAAACAATCCTAACAAATTGTATTATAACACTTAATATACTGAATTGTGTTTGTCACGTACTAAAAAATTTCTTGATATTCACAACCTTTTAACCCCCGGCTATAGCTAATTTGATGTAAACCCAAATCGCTTATAGAGCGAAAATACAACTCCTCTATTAAAAGCGTGTGATCCTACATATAATAAAACCCAGTTCCCCCAGCACTGTTTTCATTGTTCATGAACAGTAAAAGTACGGTAATGCCCTCGGGTTTTCTAAGCTTTGCCCTTATGTGTGCAGTCAATTGCCGGTTTTACCCATTGATCCCAAGGGTTCTGTGTCGTTTCTTTCTCTCCTTCCATTCATCTCTTTCACTTTACCTTTCAGTTCTCCATTTTCTGCTTTCCTCAACTGGGTTTTCCTTCGTCGTCGTTGTGCGCTCTGATTTCTCTCAATTTCTTCCTTTTCGTTTCGCGAAATTATCTCCGGCGAGACACGATCTTTGATTTTTGCAATCATTGTTGGCTGTTCTTCTCTGTTTTTGGCTGCCATCCGTACGTTGGATCGATTTCGTCTTTTTCACCGTTTTGTTTCAGCCTGTCTGTTGAGAGAATTTTTACGTATTAAGGTTAGTGATTTCTAAGCTTTTGAGTTTTGCATTGCAGTTCGATTTCATTTTTGGTTGTCTTGCCCAAATGTTAGAAGCTTTTAATTTTTTTGGGTTCAATTTTAAATGGGTTTTTGCTTTCGGAGTTTTCGTTTGATGACAGAGATGGGGGTTTTTGGGGAAAAACTTTTAATCCGTGAGTGTTTTAGTTAAGTTGTGTTGTGGGTCTTGACAAATGGACTTTTTGTTGAAATTGTTTCTCTTCTCATTTTTGGTTTTTGGTTTTTGGATTTTGGATTTTTTTTCTTTGTTTTTTTGCCATCGGGTTTTGCATGTGGGTGTATAATCAGGTGTTCTTTTGAATTTCAGGTTTCTATTTTTTTGGAACTTTAGTATGCAGCTTTGGAAGACATTTATGCTTAAGGTGAGAAACTTTGGTTGCTCGCTTTTGGGTTTTGTTGTAGAATTAAGTTTTTTTTGTTTTTTTTTGTTTTTTGTTTTTTAAAGAGTTACATTCGTGGATTTTTGGGTTTTTGTTTTCAGGCTTTAGCGCCGTCGTTTTCCGAAGCCCTCTCAAGGTAAGCAATTTAAATTTCTGGTGGTTTTAGATTTTTGTATTAAGTTTTATTATATTGGAGTTAAATTCGGTTGCACCTTGGAGTTGGTTTTGTTTAAGTTTATAATGAAGTTGAATTTGGTTGTTTTTTGGGGTTGATTTTGTTTAGTTTTATTTATGCTTTAAACTTAAGGAGTAAATAGGTCCTCATTACAACACCAATGTACCACTTAGATACATATATATATAAGTGAAAGGTCAGACTGATACATTTTGGACAAGTGTATCAGACGTGTACCTCCGATCTGGAGGAGTTTCTCCATTGAAGTGTTTTAAGATATGCTCAAAGCATTTGATGTATCTCTGGGAAAATCATAGAAAAAATTGTTAATCACAATGATGTAGATAGATAAGGAACATCAAGCTTAAACGGGAAATCCAAAAATTTAACTGACTCACAATCTTACTTGGGACAACCAGAGTTTTTCCATCTATACACCTTATATGGTTATAGTAATTCATGGCCTCCTCAGCCGTAGGGAAGAACTGCAGATACATGGAAAAACAAACAAGAAAAAGTTATAGTCATAAGTGCAAGAAATATAAAGCCAGAAGAAGCACCAACATTTCCACCATACAACCCCAGGTCTTAAGGTGCTGATTATTGATCTTACCTTAGGAAATAAGAGAAGGCTACCAATCGTCACTCCTGTCCTTGCCATACCAGCTTTGCAATGAACCACCACAACATTTTCGATGCCATCCTGTAACCATGAATGAGCACTTCGACAGAAAGATTCTATGAGTTCGATTGGGGGGGGCAATTATGATCATCAAATGGGAAACTTGCAACCTTAAAACATTCAGAGAAGCCAAATGTAGAAGAAGCTGTTATTCAACATGACTGAAAAACAGAATTACAGCCACGAAAAGTTAAACGTTTTAATCTATTTGACTATACTTTCAACTTTCTTCTTTCTCAATATATTAACACATACAAGATAGCCCTCGCCCATGAGCGGTAGGTCTCGGGTTCGAGACTTGGGAGCAGCCTCTCCATATATGGGGGTAAGGCTAGCCGACATTTACCTCTCCCAGACCCTGCGTAAAGCGGGAGCCTTGTGCACTGGGTACGACCTTTATACAAGATAGCCCTCATTAAGTCATCACATCATTCACATAAATATCTTATGATTTCATCAACGGCCATTTTGTTATTTAATCGAGATGTTAAAGTGAAGAACCTTAATAGCTCCATCAATGATACAGAATTCTGTTATTATTATTATTATTATTTTGCATATAAAAATGTGCCAAGCACTTCACCTAGCAACAATATCATACCTTATTTTTCAATTTACTTATAAGGTTTCACATTTTTGTAAGTATCAAGAACAAAAACCTGGAACAGCCTCACAATTTGGTGCACTGACTAGGTAATTGACAGTTGGGTATAGGTATGGGTAGTTAAAAACTATGAGTCATGAAAATTATTGTCAAATGCAAGGACAGAAGGTCGTGTATTTGCAAAGTTGAAGCGGCCCAAGGACTGAGTTGGTATGTTTGAGTAGATTACCTGATCTCCTTAGTTGGGTTTAGGTTTAATGCTCAGTAGTTGTTGTGCTTCTGCTGTTTTTTAGTTGTCGAGGATATGCAGGGAGAGCAAGTAAAAAGATTGTATTCACTGTGTTGACGCATTATTGAACAAGAGACCCAAAAGGAAGGACATATTCGATCTCAAGGTCTGTCAGCTTTCACTTCTTAATTTTATTATTGTTAATTTTGTTTGCTCTTTGAAATTTGAATGCATGAGTTTTTTAATTTTTTTGCGATTAGTTTACCTGAGATGGGTTTTGGGTAATCATATGTTATTTTCTGATTTGGTTACAGGATGCGAATCATTGCTTCTTTAGAAAAGATTAAGGAAGGTGAGCAATTTCAGAAAAAAAAAGTGATTATCATTTTCTAGAGATCATGGCATGCCCTTCCGTTATTTTTTGGTGGTTGTAAAATTATGACCTGACAGGGAAGTGGGTTTTGACAAGATTTTTTATTTTTATTTTAAATTTTACATCTGTAGTGTCATGTTAGCATTATTGCTTACGTATAAATGCGAGTGTGTTTTACATTTATATAATGCCTTTAATTTTAACCTCTGCATTTTCAATGTTCACCTTTAATTATCCTTTGTTTTACATCTCAGTGACGGCACAAAAGCTTCATAGAAAAAGTATCAGCTTTTGACTCAAATTTCAACGGTGCCCCTATCATTTCTCCGAAAATCAAAGCAACCCCAAGCAATTCCGGAATCATTTTTATGTGTCCCAAAATCCAGTATGTATTATCTTCATCTCAAATTTATTCGTCTCACAAACGTTGATATCAAGTTCATAGTTTTTCATTGTTCGAAATTCCACACTACTCAATATTTAATAACACTTTTATTTTCCTCTATTTACCTTTTTATTAGTGATGTTGCAGCAAAGGAAATATCAGACACGACTCTTACTCCAAAGGCTCCAACCAGAAATGTATCAGATTCCCCAATCATTTCTGAAACCATATTTATGGCTGCAAAACAGAGTATGTATACCCTTTCATTGTTCTCTACTTTTTGAATTTTTAACGACCTATTAAACATGATCTCTTTATCCCATTCGCTTAAAACTCAAATAGTTCACTAGATTTCTTTATCATAGTATCTTTCGACCATCTTTTGTATGTAGGTAGGACAATTTCGTAAATCTTTGGTATGTAAATATTATATACATATGCTTCAAGCATTCACTTTTGTATGTAAATAGGATTATCTACCAAATCTTTTGCACGTAAAATAGTATGTACATATAGATCGAGTATTTTTGTATGTACATAGTGCTATACACAAAATTTCATACAGTTTTCAATCCCGCAGCATTGCGCGGGCATCTCTTACTAGTCTCCTCTATAGTTCTCTCTAATTACAGAAGAAAGAACTAAAAAGTAGAAACAGAATGATAATAGCATAGAGCTTTTCCAATATTGAGTATAATTCTCTTAACTGGGGTATTCTCTTAACTGGGGTCGACATGTGGATACCCATATAGCTCTCCCCAACTCACACTTTTCGCCATTGTCATCAAACTTCCTTCCTTTGGCTTCAAGAACTTGAGCATGCTCTTGACACTCTTAGAATCATATCGTTTTCAGTTTTTGTTTTCCCTTTTTAAAAAACTGAAAGTTGAAATCTTGTTTGATAACTATTTTCAGTTTTCAAAAAATCTAGCAATTTGATAACCATTTTGTATTCAGTTTTTTTTCTTCACTTTTAAAAAAACTGAAATCTTGTTTGATAACCATTTTCAGTTTTCAGCAAAATGAAAACTAAATACTACTTTCTTGATTTTTCAAAATTTGGCCTTGAGTTTTTCGTTTTTTGGTTTTCAGTTTTCATTTTTTTTGGAAACTAAAAGTAGTTACAAGAACCAAAACTACTTTCTTGATTTTTCAAAAATGAAAACTACTTTCTTGATTTTTCAAAAAAGTGAAAACTGAAAGTAGTTACCAAACAAGAACCAAAACTACTTTCTTGATTTTTCAAAAAAGTGAAAAATGAAAACCCAAAAATAAAAAACGAAATGGTTATCAAATAGTCCCTTAGATATGCATTATTGGTTTCTATCCGCTCCTCGCTCCTTGGGGTGTCCTGCTCTTTAACATTCTTTGATGAGCACTGGCTCAGTGACCACTTTTGGTCTATCAACTATTATCAAATTAATATAGGTGATAAATTTGCCACTTAGTATTACGGTTTAGTGGTATTCATCTTCACTTTTACGTGAGAGGTAAGTTGAATATCATAGTGCGCAACGAACAAGACTACAAAATAATAGGAATATTATTAAACTAACGAGAATGCCAGAACGGTTACAAAACCCTAGAAAGCTACATTGTGACTAACTTGATAATCTACGAGCTACAAAGCATCATATATATAGAGAACTAACATAACCCTAATAAGCAAGAAAACGAAACTCTAATACTAACAGGCTAAGCCCAAATTCAAATAATAAAATAATCCTAAACTCCAACATCGCTCGTCAAACTCACGCCATGAGTTTGCCAACAAGCAGATGCGGATGCAAGCTCCGTTAGGCAGACAAGACAAGACAAGCTTTGTTAGGCGGACACGACAAGGCAAGCTCCATTTTTTGTATCTTTTTTTCTTTTTTTTTTCCTTTTTTGTTTTGTTTTATGGTGGGCGTGATGGCGGGTTTGATGCAGGTTGATGGGTTCAACAAATATGATCAGGTGGGCTTGGTCGGCATAGTGGCAGATGTGCAGCAACAGGTTAGGGAGCGAAGCATCTGGAGTCAGGGATGGCAGCAGGTACATCAGTGGTGCAAGACATAGGTGTAGCAGTGGTGTGGTGGATCAGTTAGATCGGCGGGTTGGGATCTAGGTTGTAGGTTCCTTCAGTGCTGGGGTTTTCAGGTATGCGGGATGGATGCAATCGGTTGCTTCGATGCAGGTTTGGGTTCTGGCAGATAACGAACGGCGCGGCGTGCCTCCCAAATCCCAGGCAAACAGATTCAACTTTTTTCCTTTGTTTACAAACAACAAAACCCTAATTAAAACAAAACTGATACTGAACAAACAAACAAATCGATATCAACCCCAAAACAGATTAATTCTCGAAGGATTTAACCTGCTCTGATACCAAGTTGAATATCAGAGGGCGCAACGAACAAGACTACAAAATAATAGGAATATTATTAAACTAACGAGAATGCCGGAACGGCTACAAAATCCTAGAAGGTTACATTGTGACTAAGTTGATATTCTACGAGCTACAAAACATCATATATATAGAGAACTAACCTAACCCTAATAAGCAAGAAAACGAAACCCTAATACTAACGGGCTAAGCCCAAATTCAAATAACAAAATAATCCTAAATTCCAACAGGTATTAGGTTCGATTTTTGCCAAAGGTGAATTTGAACCATATTCTTGCTAGTTATTGTGAGATTCTCTCATCCCTTTAGTGTAGATCGTTTGTTAAAAAAAATATAGGCGATAATTTACAAGCTATATTTCACACCTCTCATTAACACTCTCAGAAAACTTGAACAATGAAATAAAGGGAGTAACAACTATTTGAGAAAACAACACACACTGATTATTGAATAAAGATTACAATTCTTGTTGTTGAATACATTTCAATAAATAAATAAATAAATAATAGCTCCCAAAATCAAAGATATCTGCTACATAGATATTTAAATGGTAAAAAAATGCTTAGCTAAAAATATAAAAAAAGCTGTGAAGTCAATCGTCCATTATCTCACCAATTTGTAATTATTGGTATTTATTTTGGTTTGGACTTGCAACACACAAATCAACATTCAATAATACCCTTACTGATTGAGGATTTCCTTTACAGGGAAAAACGAAATTATAAACTTCTTAACTTTTTTAAATAGAAATATCAGGGCATGAGAAAATCCCGCATACAAAGGAAGCTGTATGAGCCCAAATACAGACACAGGAAGAAAGGCAGCAACATAAAGGAGAGACCTTGTCAATTCCTCATCGAGATGAATCAAGAGCACAGCTGTAGCGGTGAACACGAGCATGGTCGTCACTAGCGAGAAGAAAAGAAAGGCAAATCCTAAATGCAGCCTGAGCGGAAGAGATTGATGGAAGTTTTTGTACTCAAACGGAGATGTCAAGATCGAGAGAAACGTGACGAGAGAAGACAATGAGCTGATGAGCGAGACAACATCTGTGATGATAAAGGTAGTGAAGAAGGGAGAATGTCGAAGAACAGGAGCACCGCCTGAACTGTAACCCCCGGGAGCAGTGTAGGCGGCTGCAAAGACCACAGTGGCCACTAGAGCTGCCACGGCCGAGCATGACTGAGCAGTGCCTCTTATCCATGTTTGTGCCGAATGAAGAAGCTTTGCATGCTCAGTATTGAAGAGCTCCTCCGCTGTCATACCCATGTTGTTGCGGTGCATCATGTAATGAGGAGGCATTATCTTTCTCACGCGCTACCAACAAATTGGTAAAACTAACTATTAATGTATGAATTAACCATTTCAATTCTTAGTCTAGCATATTTTTGTTTCCAATATGAATAAAAGGAAGGCTCATTATTATTTTTTTTACTTTTAATTTTTTATGGGAAGACTCATTAGATTTTAGGTGGCTGATATTAACTGTAGAATATATTCAATTAATTATTTACAACAAAATTATGTAATTTCCCATAATTTTGATAATTCAAATTAAACTATGTTTACCCAAGATGAATAATAGTTTATTCAAACTGAGAGAATGTTTCTCCAAGTTCGAATTTCTCATTCTGTAGTTTATATGTCGATGAATTTAATGTTAAAATATCAATTGTATAAAAAACCGTGAAAGAGAATATAACTAGGGCCAGAGTCACTCACCACCATCCAACGTAATTCTTCTTGTAATTGCAATGCAGGACCACTTACACTTTGAGTGTCTGGAGAGTAATATGTCATATCTGCAGCTCGATGCAATATGGTATTTCCATCACTGTCAATCCTCGAAGATAACCTCGACGTTATTGATCTGCTTCTCTTCACAAGCCTAAATATCTGCAACTGACGGTGCTTAATCGACATATGCAAAATGTTTTGTTGATTGCCGATATCGTGCGCCTCAGCCGCCTGAGGATGTACCTCAAACATCTTTTTCACGAGAGGTAATATTCCGGTGCTAGTTGCTATAAGCAGTGGGGTGTAGTTATAAATAGTATATTTTTTTGTTTCTCTTCCATCACCACCAATAGCAGCTCTATCTTTCTGTAAGGACACCAATGAAACTGTCTTGTCTTTCTCTGTTTTCTTACTTTCTACCCACGAATAATCTTTCTCTACGAGCAGATGAGTGAGCTCCGATAGTGATTTTTCATTTTTTATTTGCTTCACGATCGAAAACACTCGAGGCCATCCTGTGTATGATTGATCATGCATATATAGGATTAAAATTAACAATATAATTAACTTAGTTTTCACCATCATGATAGGCTTAAGTAGTTTACCGAAAAAACAAAGGCTTAAGTGAAAAGAACTTAAAATAATTTTTGAAAGAAGATCCCATTTTTGTATCACATTTGCGTGTCATTCAATGTGACAAGTGGTGTGTACATGTCATGTTAATTAATGAATTTCTCTCATTACATGCATCACTTGCCACATGAGATGGTACCCTAATAATTTTTGGTCTTTAGTTTTCATTTTTTGTGTCTTCGTTATCCATTTTCTACATCTCTTCCCATCCTTCCTTCACTATTCTATTTCCCACATTTCTATATAGGTCTCATCTATTTCTAATACAATGAAAACTAAAAACTCTAAAAATAAATGATTAGTAAAGGGCTAGTAACGCTTTCTAACTAGAGATTCTCCAATGAGTTCCTTGCTAAAATTTAGCGATAGTTAAAAAAAATTCATATTCAATCCTCTAGTAGCTCTTAAATCTGGGAAGGGAAAAAGAAGCTCCTAATGACTCTAGCATTAATTACTACTATGTTTAAATTAGTTTATAATCAAAATAGGGAGTATGATTGGAGAGGTATGAACACATATGAACATGTTCTATTAGAATATGAGCATAAGTGTAGGTGTATACTGGTCAGTCGTTTTAGTTTAAATTAGTTTAGAAAAGACTTATTGGAATTGACTGTCCTAGTTAATAAAGGATTAAAACTAGGAATTGATCCTAAATTACTCACTTGTATCAAAAAATGGGAGGCAATCTTGGTTTAGGAGAATTGCAGGGATATATTATTTGTCAATATAAATAGTAGTAACTGCTCTCACAGAAAAATACCCTCATTATATTGGACCAAAGACATTGTTTGATTGAGTAGTGTGTATCTAGCAGAGAGAAGAAACTTACTATTGAAGTCGACTATAACTTCATCTTCTTTGATTTGTAAAGGTCAGATTTATTCTTACATGTTCATCATTTAGTCCATATAATTAAGAATTGAACAAAGCATACAATTCATAGGAGCAAAACAACAAAAGACAATAATATATTACGTTCGATTTATTATATTCGAGGTTTGAGATTTATTTACTTGAGAGCGTCTTCGACAAGCAAGCTGTGGGAAGCTGTGGAATCCATCTGCTCTCTATATCACCGTCCCCATCAACATTATCATCTTCAGAGATGCCTGAATAATATATGTAATTAAGATAGAAAGGGAAGCAGAAATATGATCTCATCCTAAATTCTATTCTTGCACTCCATTAGCAGGAGTAAAACAACTGTTTTTACTAGAGTACAGGTAATTAGTATAGTTAAAGTGTTGTGAATTGTTTAATCCGAATATCATGAACACATCATTACATACTAGCTGCTAGATTAAAGTCCTATGTTATATATGCATGTGGAATGAAGCTACGGAGAACATAAAAAGAGATTAGAGAGAAATGGAGTTTTTATTTTTTTTATGTTTTTAATATTGTTATTTACTATACACATTATTGTATTTAATGAAAGCGGGGGACATAGTTGGGAGTTTATTTCGATGTGGTATACAATTCCTCTTCTCTTAAATAATAGTATAGACACGTACATTTATGAATAAGCATCTTCCATAAGCTTTTGCGATAGTAAACTTGGAAGGCAGATGGCATCTGGGCTAGCAATTGAAGGCTTGTGAAACCATTGTCTTCCCTTCTTTTTGCAAGACATGGGTACTTTTTCAGTAACCAAACAGCAGTTTCTGCATTATATATGAAAAGTGGAAACAGAACAGAAGAAAGAATGTTAATCAAACAACTAAAAGACTTATTCTCGCAAATTAGCTGATTTTTACGGAAGTAAATATTATGATAGCCTCTTGCCACACATCTACCCGTGTGTCAATTGGTTATTTAATATTTTATTCTTTTATTAAAAAATTGTATTTACATGTTTTTTCAATAAAAATAAAAATAAATACGTAAAAAACTACCCTCCTGTGCGTGAGGTAATTTCATTTTGGATTTTACAGTTTTCTTAGGCCTTCCACAGTGGGCCGGAAAAAGTGAGTGCCATACCACTATATTGGATTCATATAGAATCATACTCTTACAATGGATGAGAAAATTTGACTGTGAGAATAATATATTGAACTCATACTAGTGTGGCTATAATGTTATAGGTATCAAACTCAGGTTGCCTTATTACTAAAAGGGAAGATGGGCATTTTTCAAAAGTACAAAAAAATGACACACTTGCGCAAACTCAAAATAACATACGCCTTGGAGGAGCCCCCCCAATATAAACAAGCCCAACTATATATATTAATTATTGTCTAACTTCGATGAATAATGCTATTTTGAATGTTGAGAGAGAGACCAAAATGTTGGTTAATGACAGCGATATGAAGAACAGACATGCGATCAACGCATCTGGTTAAGTGGCGCTCTATATTTACATCTTGTATGTTGAAATAGTCGAACAACTTTGTGTGACCGTAAGAAGCTGCCCTGTAGAACGGCGTTTCTCCTAACTTGTTCTTAATCTCTACAATACGTGTAGAGCTAGCATCAACATCCGGCTCATACTCATTGTCTTGGTCAGCATCCCGTCTAGCAATTAGCTCTCTCCTATTGTGGTCATCGTGGCTTACCAACAGCATTGCGGCTTTCAGGTTTCCCGACGCTGCCACCTCGTGGAGGATGGTGCTCCCGTGGCTATTCTCCAGCACCAAGGCATTCCGTAAATTCCGAGGGTTGTCGTTGGTCGCAGTCGTCACAAGTGAAATCAAGAATTCAAGCACGTCACTCCGCCCGGCAAAGGCTACGACGTGAAGTACAGTGTCATCGTTCGTTGTCAATGGACTGAGTACCTCTTCCCATTTTCCCTTATAGTATTGTTTCAGGCATTCCCAGTTGTCGTACATGGCCCATTGATATGGCCTTTCTGTTCGACTCAGTGCCTTTCCCTTTCTTTCTATTTCCTCATCATCTATTTTCTCATCATTTTCTCTCTGTTTCTTCAACCTCTCCATCTCTCTCTCTTCCATCTCTCTCTCTTTTATCTCTCTCTTTCTCTCTCTCTCTCTCTCTCTCGTACAGTTTACAAAGTGATAGTACTGCATGTGACTCATTTGCTTCATTGATAGTCCATATTCTGGCCTTTTTTCTGTACAATCTTCACCATCAGGCTAGCTAGATGGTAAGCTGCACATAGGTACGTTGCTTAATCAAGTAACAAAGTTAAAGAACAACTGCAAAGTACAATTATTAAATATGCAATTTTCATCAAAGAATTAGATGCTTTCAAACTATATAATTTCAGACGTTGCTTAATCAAGAAACAAAGTTAAAGAACTGCAAAGTTCTCTACGATTATTAAATATGCAATTTTCATCAAAGAATTAGATGCTTTCAAACTATATAATGCCAAAAGCTGCAAAATGAGAGTTTTGAAAAGATTCAAAGTTACCAGCTGTTTCTTCCCAGCCTTATGGTAAAGTGTGTTAGCATTGATCCTCATGGTTTCGGTTTTGAAGGCTGGTATCGCAGAGAAAGAAGATAAGTAATTATGATTCAAACCCAAAAAGAAGATTAGAAGTGAAGAAAAGTAAGAAAAAAACATAGCTAGCTTTGTTTTGTTTCCTTGAGAAGTTGAAAGGTGACAAAAATCTTCGCTTGCTTCGTTTCTTTTTCTTTTAGTTCTTGCTTTTTTTAGCAGGTTGACAAAAAAATTTAACTAAATTTGCAAACTAAATAATGTGTTACTAATAGGAAATAAGCATGGTAATCAAAACTTAAGTAATAATCCAATCATCACCATCTACATCATTTGGTTTACAAAATTTGGTTTAGAAATTTGGTCTCCCTAGCATTACCCCTATTTTTTAGGGGAGGATGATATTCTAGCGTTTAGTGTTAGCTACGAGAGACTTTTCAGTGTGTCCGAGTCTAAGGTTGCGGGAGGAAATCTTAATTGAGTGAAAAAGTAATTAATCAAGGTTAATTTTGTTGACGTTTTGTATATTCCTGGGATTCTTAATTTAGCATGATTTCATGTAAATTAGTTCTTTCCTTATTGATATGATTGTATCATCTTATGAATTCCTCCTTGAGAGATGAATAGACATATAATACACAATTCCAAAAGCATTCTCTTCTTGGCACCAAAGCCATGTCGTAAAAATAGGAAAAAACTTAGCTGTGCGCGATAGCATTGCCGCAGCTCAGCTATGTTTGGTGCGCCGTTGACCAGCAAGCGACTATCGTCGTTGTTGACTATAGATTAGCAAGCGACTGTTGTCATTGCAACTCCTCTCTGAATTCGAAACGAACAGCGAGCGACCTGTGTCGTTGCTGCCCAGATTTCTTTGAAATCAGTTTCAATCAGAAACCATAACCTAATCATCAGTTTGCCGTTGAGTCTGCTGCCCACTAGCGCACCGGTGCACACACACCAAACCTGAACCACTGACCCTCTGTTGACATCACCATTGTAATCACATGGCTGCCTAGAACAACCGCCTGCACCGCCTACATCCCGTCGCAGATCGTCTTTGACCCCGACCCGACTGCATCCAACTGCTGCAACCCAGTCGACCAGACCTGTTGCCTCACATCGTCACAATCCGACCAGTCGTTGTAGCAGACCACGAACGCATCGCCGCCATTGCGCCGGAAAACGTGACCCACTGATCCATTCTTGCACACGTTCTCACAGAAAAAATAAAAAATAAAAAAAAGAAAGAGGAAGAAAGAAAAAGAAATTTTTTGAAATTTTTTTTTTTGGCCCCGTGTAGGCTGACTTGCTTGGACTTGGTTTGATTGTAAATTTGGGCCTTATCCATCACTCTCTCGCGTTGCACTCAACTTACTTAGCTCAATGACATTAGAGGCTCATGTCCATCCAAATCAATCTAACCTAACAAGATAGGAGAGTATGACCAATTGTAAGGCTTTACAAGTTTGTACATCTGTTACGAATAATACGTGGATAATTGAATTCGATGCTACTGAACATATGACTTGTGATTCTAGATAAGTACAAGCCTTAAAACCGTCCACCAAAACTTTCGTGAGTGTTGCCAACGGTAATGTTGCCTCCATTATTGGGGAAAACACTGTCTCCCTTTCTGATACCCTTAATCTTGATACCGTACTTGTTGTTCCTTCCCTAGATTATAATTTGTTATCTATTGCTCAAATAATTGTCGCCCAACATTGTCTTGTGATTTTTTGGCCTTCTTTTTATGTTTTCAAGGACATTCAGACTCGCAAGAAGATTGGTTATGGTGTTAGAAAGGGGAGGCTTTACTACTTGGAGCCGACATCAAACAATATCCAAATGTTAACTCAAACACTTGTTGTGGAAGGATCTCAAAAGGAGAGGAATAAAGTTTCGGAGGTTTGGTTATGGCATCGTCGCCTTGGACATGCTTTTTTTATGGAGGTTGTTTCCTAGCCTATTTGTTAAGCATGATATGTCTAGCTTTAAATGTTGTGTTTGTGAACTGTCTAAGAGTCATCGTACTTCATTTCCGTCAAGTTTGAATAAAAGTTTGACAAATAACTTTGTAGGAATATATATGCAAGGATCTTTTGGCAATTCATCATCATCTGGTATATCTCAAGAATCATCTAGCAATTCTGAAGGTATGATTTTCCCTACAGGAGAGACAATCATAGGGGTACCAAATGGTGTCTCTACTTTTAGTATGCCATTTCCACAACAAAGTCTTTATGTGCCTTCTTCTAGCTCCTATCTTGCAGGTCCATATCCTTCTATTCCATCACCATAACGATTTCCACAACAGTTTCCTCCATATATGGGAAATCAATATGGTACTCTAGAGTCTCCATACTCAGGTTTGTCTCAACTTCAACAGGAGCAATTTCCTAATCTTTCAAATAGCTATGGCTTTGTGGGACAAAATGGTGTTCTAAGGCAATTTTCTAGTTCTAATGGTAACTACAGGAACTCAAATGGGAATGGGAATTACAAAGGCTCAAATGAAAATGGAAATTACAGGAATTCAAATGGTTCTAATGGCGAAGGTCAATCTTTTGGTGGTAAGCAGAATGGTTGTTCATGGAAATCATGGTATGGGAGTATTGAGACTAGATCACAAATTGTACTAGAATGTCATATTTGTTCTAAACGAGGTCATACTACCCCTAATTGTTGGGAAAGGTCAACTAATCCTAGTTCTATGGGAAACATTGCGAAATGTTAGATTTGTGGAAAGAAATGGAATAGTGTTGTGCACCTCTTCTATTACTTTAACTACAATGCAAGCTCAAGCTTCACATCCATTTCTTCCCAATGATTCATAGATAGTTGATACAGAGGCATCACATCATATGACAGCTGATATAAACTCTCTGCAACAAGTAACATCATATGAAGGCAGTGACAAAATTACAATTGGTAATGGGGAAGATCTTCCAATAAAACATATTGGTTCTGCAAAATTGGAAATGTTACCACTCTTTAATTCTGAGAAGTGTTTTACATGTTCCAACCATAACTGTTAGTTTGTTATCTGTGAAACAGTTATGCAAAGATCTACAGGTTTATTTGTGATGATTAACTTCTATGTGCATGAAAATGCAACTAAGGTTGTAATCTACCAAGGAAGGAGCATTGATGGAGAGTTATTTCAAATTCTAGTGGAGTTGCTTTCAAAATGAGTAGTAAAGGCAACACAAGATTCTGTGGCTTTGCTTGGACAGAGAGTGAAATTTACAGTTTGGCATCAAAGATTTGGATATCCCAGCAATGAAGTGTTATCTACAATGATGAAGTAATCTAATATAGTTAGTTCATTTGATGATAAGCAATATCTATGTTCTTTTTGTATTTCTGGCAAGATGTCTAGGTTACCCTTCACAGATATGAAAGAAACTTCTATTTTTCCCTTTCAAAAAGTGCATTCAAATCTTTGTGGTCCTTCACCAACTAGATCCATAGAAGGATACAAGTACTATGTGAATTTTGTTGATGAATTCACTAGATATGTATGGATATTCCCATTGATAACAAAATAGAAGTCTTTGCAGTTTTTCAGAAGTTCTATAGCTTTGTTCATACTCAGTTCAGTTTTGATATTGAGTGTTTGCAAACTGATGGTGGTGGGGAATATATGAGTCATAGCTTTGATGAATTCTTGAAGAATAAAGGGATTGTACATATGGTGTCTTGTCCATATACCCATCAGCAAAATGGAATTGTTGAGAGGAAACATAGACACATTATAGAGACAGCTATAACATTGATGACAACAGCAACATTGCCTCAAGACTTGTGGTTCCATGCTTGTTCACATTCTGTGTTTCTCATAAATAGAATGCCGAGTAAGAATCTAGGAATGTAGTCCCCTTATCAGAGGTTGTTTGGCTCTTATCCACAGCCACCGGGTTTAAAGATCTTTGGGACAACTGTTTATCGCTATATAAGACCATATAATGAAAACAAACTCCAACCTAGATCATCATTGTGTCTTTTTAGACTATGCAATGGGATATAAGGGAGTGATCTGTTATCTTGTGCAAACCAGTAAATTCATCATCTCAAGACATACAAATGTAATTCTAGGAATCCTAGAATACAAGCACAAGTTGAGACTCAAGAATGCAGATCCTTTTTAACTCCAATAATAGTTACACTCCCATCATACTCAATGTCAAGAAATATGCATTATGATATTGTGGATGTTACTTCTTTAGATTATACAACAACAATTGATACTGGAATTCAAGTTCTATAATGCAGTCTGGTACAAAGTCTTGTTCAGTGCAAACTACAAATTTTGAAGACAGAAGTGAATTTGAAACAACTCCATCACCTCCATCTACAACCTCAATGTTACATGTCATAGATCCTGCACAATTAAAGGTATTACTTCCACTCGATCCTCATATACCTTTTATTCCATCACAAAATAACAATTATGTTCAAAGAGTGCAAACCAGATTACAAAACAGGTGCTATTCCAAGAAAACACTATGCAAGCTACTTAGCTTCATTACCAGAACTTACATCACTCAAGCT